AAAGGGACCATCTTTGACAGGCGCTGATGATGGAACTCCAAACACTTCAACCCTGAAAATTGCCAATTTTTCGTGGTTCAACTACTTCGAAGCCTAACTGATGGCAGGATCTACAGTATGTTAATTTACGTGCAATCCTGGCATCGTCCTCAGGTAATCATTGCTATCGCCTTTGGAAAACCACCACGAAAGTTATAGAAGAAAATGGGTAAATCATTGAAATCATCTACACAAGTGCCATGGCTTCCGGTAAACTGTTGAATTACCAGACCCCAGGTACGCTTTTTTGTTTAACATCATCCAGTCAAGGGGCTGCCAAGCTACACGGTAACCCCATATAACATGTAACTATGATTAACTATGTATATATATATATATGTGTGTGTTAACCATAGTTAATTATATAATAAATACATAGTTAACTATTGACATATATGTATCTTGGGGAAGGCCCCTTCAGTGGCTTATCCCTTATCTGATTTGGCTCTAGTCAAAAAGCCACAGAAGCACTTGAGGGAATACTTGAGGGAAATCACATCACAAAGCGACCTTCACTTAGGATTCTGAAGTATTGTTGTTAGTTTGCCCAGGTGGAAATTGGTGAAGCCTGGTTTCATCCCTTTCTCATCGTGAATCAAAGTAGGTTGAACCCCAAAAAGGTCTGATCCAATACAATCCCCCATTTCTTTTTGTCATAAGTCATATTGTTGGTTATACTGTTTTTCTTGTATCCATCTATATCCCTAAAAATGGCGGCTCGGATTCCCTCGGTTTCGCCAGATATGGCCATAAAATCAACAGGAATCCATGGGACGCTTCCCATCGCGTAGCTTCGCTTAGCTCGAACCAGGACACCCTCAGCATCTTTGTTAACAACGGTAGTACCATCGTGTGGATACTGCGGATCACTGGCTCGAAACTTGGCTCGAGGGGCCTGACCGTCCTGATCAGGGCTGATCAGGGCTGCAGCTGTGCCATGAAAATGTGGCAAAGATGTCCAATGAATTAACCAGCAACATGTATGTCCACTATGTATACTGAATTATGATGTTCCAACATAAGCAGTAATTCAAGAATCAAAGTATGAGTAATTAAACGTGAAGGTTTAATTACGGTGTAACCAGAAAAATCTGGAGGGCCCAGCCATTAAAAGAGAGGCGTAAAGCTTGGTGAAGGGTGGTTTCAAGAGTTGTTTGTTTCTATAATTGGTGTGCACGCACACACACACATATATATATATATATATATACATACATACATATGTAGTGTATATTTGCATGTGTGTGTACGGTAAGGTATGGTATGGTAAGGTGAGGTATATGGTATATCCAATCTATTTGGGTCTGATTTCAGGGTAGCAATGGTTCCAACAAAAAAATGGCCCCTAGTTTCTAAAGTGTGGCGTTGAGCCACCCTGGCCTTTGTTGGAAAGGATATGTGCGTCTATATCTATATATATATATATGCCATATGATTTGACATAGCAATGGAAAATCCATTATAAATGGAGGGTTTATTGGGAAAATCATCTGTAAATGGTCCATTTTCCATAGCTATGTGAAATTACCAGAGGGTATATATATATATATGCCATATGATGTCATATGTAGCTATGAGACACCATGATTCCAGCTACCGGCTTTGAATGCAATGTAGTGTATGTGATGCGTGCAGCAAGTAATCAATGCATGTAACGTATGTCATCTGTGTATATACACACACCAGCCTGACAAAAGAAATGAAGGGTATCTAAGTTCGGCCAAGCTTTGAGGCACAAGATTGCTATGACCATTTTGTGGGCCATCTAAGCCAGACTGTGGATGCATGAGCCAATAGAACTTGTGTAATATGTGGCGCGTGCTGAGCTCCAATGATCCCAACTTGGTAATGTTGGATGGGGAAATCAATAGTAAACACCCTGTAACCTGTAATCGAAGGAACGTGGTCGAGAGGGCATAGATGACCATTGACAGGCCTGTCCTGTCTTAACATCACCCTGGCACATTAGAAGGATCATGAAACCAACAACCATCTCTAAGTTGAGGTCCCTTGCGAATCTGCTCAACCATTGGCTAGCAAACATGGCTAAACATGTGATGTATGAGGAGTTGTTGCGGCCAACAGAAATGGGGTTACAGCGATTACAGCCAACAGAAATATAGCCTGTGTTTTTTTTCCGAATCTTCGAGCTATCTCAGGCCATGTTGGTTCCTTTTTGGGCACGAAGATGAGATTCTAAACGCAAAAGAATGTGAATATCAACCAGATATGAGGAACAAAGTGACAGGGCAAAAGGGCTATCATAACCAAAGATTTTGGAGAGCGCAGCAACTTCATGGGTTCCCTGTTTGTTTGTTTTTTTTCTAGGGTAGCTGGAGGTATCCCCTATAACGATGCTTAGAAACCAATAATTCACAATAGGGGTCCCATAAATATAACAGATCAAAAGTTATTTCCAGGATGATATAGATGATATGTTCCCCAAATTTTCCAGGTGCTCGCAATTCTTATGATTTTTTAGTGGGTTGATATAACATAATATGTTGATGTGCCATTTACTTGCCAAGGTTGAGTCATTTACATACCATGTGTATATATATATATATATATATGTATTGTAGTAGAGCTTCGCACACCGGCGATGCCATACGGGTTAAGTATAGTACTGTGAGCGTTGGTGGTGTCCATGTGCTCTACGCGTGCCCGCAGATACAGAGCACAGTGCGGCGTTCTTTTCATACCACAGCTTGTAAGCATCTTACCACACATCTTTTTGCCGCATGTTTGTGCATGTTATTCTTCTTGTTCTTCATGTTGTTGTTGTTGTTGTTGTTGTTATTTGTGTTTTTGTTCTTCTTGTTGTTGTTGTTGTTGTTTGGTTGTTGTCTTGGTTGTGGTTGTGTTGTGGTTGTTAATGTTATGTTGAGTATGTTAGATTGTTATGTTGATGTTATGGTGATGTTATGTTGATGTTTGTTGATGTTTATGTTGATTTAGTTGTTTTTGTTATGTTGTTGTTATGTTGTTGTTATTTTTGTTCTTCGGATTTTATGTTCTTAATTGTTTGTCTTGTTCGTCTTGTTCTTCGTTGTTATTTTGTTCTGTTCGTCGTTCTTGTTATTATTGTTTTCTTTTATTTGTGTTTTTTCTTCTATTGTTTTTTTCTTGTTCTTTTGTTTTTCTTATTGTTTTGTTGTGATGTTTGGTGTTGTTGATGATGTTTGTGGTCCTTGTTGTCCTTTGTTGTACCTTGTGGTCCTGTGTTCATGTTGTCCTTGTTGTCCTTGTGGTCTGTTGGCCTTGTTGTCCTTGTTGTTGTTGATGTTGTTGTTGTTGTTGTTGTTGTTGTTGTTGTTGATGTCCTTTTGTCCTTGTTGTCCTTGTTGTCCTTGTTGTCCTTGTTGTCCTTGTTGTTGTGGTTGTTGTTGTTGTTGCTGTTGCTGTTGCTGTTGGCATTGGCAACCTCTCTGCCCTGACGCGCTTCCCCTTGCTCAGCCGGGGTCGGCGGATATAAGTATATATATATATATATACACACATGTATTATGTATTCATCAATTGCCCACTTACATGACAACCCTGCCCAATAGTGGGACCACTGTTTTCCTGAATGATAGACTATATACACATAGAACCGCATTTTTTTCTCAATAATTGGTGACAAAAAAAAGAGGACGGAGACTCTCCTGCAACTCTGAGGTCCACTGAAGGTGCAAGATTGCGGCTGCGTTTACTGGAAGATATATTTAGACTCTTGGTGCAGATGCTGTAGCCCAAGTATGCCCAAGTCATGTATCAATGCGATGAATGTTCCATGACTATGTTAAATTACCAGCATGATAAATCATGATGTATCATGATGTATCTATAGTTAGATGGGTGAAACAAAACCAACAAACAGAACTGGGCGAGAGGGGACACTTTGCAAGGATGCTTCCTGAGCGAGATGTGCTGCACAAAATGAGGTTGATATATGATGTTGTTTGATCACCGTTGGAAATCATAAAGTCATGTAAGAAGTCATGCAACGCGTCATAGATTTTGCGCCATACCCAAATGGCGACCAACGGGAAATTCCACCAGGCTACGTCCGTACATTTTTTTTGTTGAAGGGAGATTCAACCCTCTTCATTTACAGGATGAAGTCGTGTACCTCTGCAGATTTTAAGTCGTGAATTTCGGGCATTTTTTGTGTTTTTTGTCTGCTTGATCAGGAACCAATTGGATAATCTACATACACTGATACCTACGACATGTCCCTTTAAAACGTTTGGTGTTGAAGCTGTTATGTAGAGGGTTGTAGAAGGATTATACAAACCCAACCGACATGCCTGAAATGGGTGCAAACACACGGCCAGTTTAACAATGTTGAACATAGATTTCCACTGCAATGCTACCGACAAGATAATGGTTTCAACTTTTCAACCTTTAGCTTCTGAAAATGTCATATGTAATGATGATACATTCTATGATAATGTATGTATATATGTATATAAGAGGTGGTAAATATGAGTAAGTATAGTAATAGCAATAATCTAAAATGGACGTGTTCTTCTATCTCTGTACATGTCTTTGGTGGTGCAATGGATTTGAGATGTGCCCCAACAAAATTGGATAACTATATAAACGGATAAACGGTCGCAAAGGTCTTGGAAGACGACCATTCAGACTCGCTATCTTCACATGCATGAGACAGTATGCGTGAAACCAAAAGTGCAGTATTCACTGGGGATTGGAGGAAGATCATATTTGCAGGACACCTGTGTTTTTCCCCACCTGCCAGGTGAGGGTTGTTAGATTTTATGTCAGTTGCCTCCTCCTGCCTCGTCCTCCTCCTCCTCCTCTCCTCCTCGTCCTCCTCGTCGTCCTCCTCGTCGTCCTCCTCGTCGTCCTCCTCGTCGTCCTCCTCGTCGTCCTCCTCGTCCAACTGCGACCCGCGATCCACAGTGTTCTCTGTCGGACCTCAACCACGACCATCCCCGCCCAGTGTTCCCTGCCGGACCTCAACCACGACCATCCACGCCCAGTGTTCCCTGCCGGACCTCAACCGCGAGTATCCGGGGACCAGTGTTTTCCCTTGCCGGACCTCAACCACGACCATCCCCGCCCAGTGTTCCCTGCCGGACCTCAACCACGACCATCCACGCCCAGTGTTCCCTGCCGGACCTCAACCGCGAGTATCCACGCCAAGTGTTCCCTGCCGAACCTCATGTAGGAAGATATGGGACAAAGAATGTGCAGAAGAAAGTTAGAAAGAATGTCAGACAAGTATGTTATATATTACTTGCAAACTCGCGCGTGTGTGGTAGAGTGACCGGGGCAATGCCACTTCTTACTTTGCAGGTGGCCAGACAGAATGCCAGAAGATATGCCAGATGGAATGTCAGATAGAATGCCAGAAGATAGCCATGAGATATGCCAGATAGAATGCCAGAAGGTATGCCAGATAGAATGCCAGAAGATATGCCAGATATAATGCCAGAAGATCTGCCATATAGAATGCCAGAAGATATGCCAGATAGAATGTCAGATAGAATGCCAGAAGATATGCCAGATAGAATGCCAGAAGATTTGCCAGATAGAATGCCAGAAGATATGCCAGAACATTTGCCAGAAGATATGCCAGATAGAATGCCAGATAGAATGCCAAAAGATATGTCAGATAGAATGCCAGAAGATATGTCAGATAGAATGCCAGAAGATATGCCAGATAGAATGCCAGAAGATTTGCCAGATAGAATGCCAGAAGATATGCCAGATCATATGCCAGAAGATATGCCAGATAGAATGGCAAATAGAATGTCAGAAGATATGTCAGATAGAATGCCAGAAGATTTGCCAGTAAGAAAATGTATAAATGTCATGGTGGGGATCACACGAAGTAAAGTAATTTTCCAGTGACATATGGTTGTTTCCAGATTTTCCAGACCCCTTTTCCAATTCTGGGAGGTATGATTACACTCAAAACCATGGCAATCTTGCAATACAATGTGAGGCCCCCTAGATAGCTAAGTTGGTTTATAGCTCCAATAACTATGGTTTATGGTACTTATAACTATAGTTACTGGGGCTTATAAACCAACTTATAACTGGGGGGGCACATTGTAGGGATTATGGTGATCAACCATTGTTTCTGTTTTCAGATGTCCCATCATTTTCTGATAAGCTGATATGGAAATCCATGGCAATCCTTGACACTTAGTTAGCGACGCTAAGTTGCTTTAAGAATTACTTTGTGAAGCGAAAAACATGTGCCCAAAAATTGTTTACTCATTGGTTTTCATTTGGTGATTCAGATTGGAATTTGATGATGAAATCCAGGTTTGAACTCGTTCTGATAGATTGTGCTTGATTGATGATTGATTGGTTGTGATCTTGTACTACCTGGTTTATTTGAGACTATGGACTGACTGACTAAGGGACATAACAAACCCTAATGCCTTAGGATGGTAGATGGCCTTGTCGGAATCCAATCACACTGCTCTCTCACAATTGAGCACTGGTAGTTTCGATATTGAAGACACTGCTTTTATCAAGCGCCACTTTGAGATTGGAACCATTGCTTTGATTGCTTTTGTCAAGTGATATCTATGTTCGAAACCGGTAACATTGAGTATATCAGTATATCCTACAATAGCTTTGTTTTATTGCCCCAATGTAAATCACGCTTTGGACGTCACCTAATCGTCACATCCGCACGAACGAGGCTGTCCAGATGGATGTGAAATCCCTTTGGTCTATAAGAAACTTGGTGGAAAGTGCCCTTCTGTTGTGTCAAAATCATTCAAAATCATGGTTCTACTATATTTGTTGGATTTCCGTTTTTTGTCAAAACAATTTAAAAAAAAAATTGGAGGCAAATGGAGGCATGATATCGTGGGTTGATCCCCAACCTCCTAAAAATTACGTGGGTTGGATTGAAGGATTTTGGGTGGACCTGCAGGGGATTGCTGAAACAAAGAAAAAGATATCAATGGGTGGCGGGGATTTCGACGATCTATGACTTGTTCGACCACTTTTTCCAAAATTTGGGTGATCCTCTAAATGACTCATGTATACAGTAATATATATAACTCTCAAGGGAGGGTGAAACCGCCAAGCGACAAGGCATTGGTGGGTTTGGCATCAAGCATAGACACAGTTGATAATTTATGGTTGATTGATGATTACATGGTGTTATACTATTCAATATATGGGTGGTTATCATATGGTTGAAACATGTTGAAACCCATCCAAAATAATAATCGGAGGTTTTCCACTTCCCAATGCAGGATTTACCATCCACAGTATACAAAAGTTAAATATATTAGTGATATATAGTGATATAATGTGATTTCTATAGATTTGTATTCTAATTTATCATAGATTTATAAAGCCACAATCCATTTCTATCTCCCTATCATTTTTGGCCCTGCTAAGATTTCATGGAGGACTTGAAAAAATCCCCAGGAACGACAACTTTTGTGACTGCTCGGATTGCGCGGATGAAGAGACCTGGACCTGTGGCACCTGTGGAGCCTTCAACGAGGACGAAGATCAGCAGGAGGCCCAAGACGTAGGCGCGGATGATGGCCATGGGGATGGTAGCCATGGTAGAAGCCATGTTTTTTTTGCCATGAAAGATCCGGATTTCACAATGGATTTTCTAAGAAACGATTCGATTTACATGGATTGATTTATCCAAGAGTGATGGTTGAATGAACATGAATGAACAGTCGGTCAACGAGTGGGTTTATTTGAATCATTGAATCATCGATAATATCTACAGTCGGATGACCCTGCAACACCTGCAGCGTGGAAAATGGATGGACGAGTTCACCCAGCTGCAGTTTACTGGCGAATCGTTGTTCGCCATTGAAAACAATAGATGATTGATAATCAGAAAAAATAGATGAAATATATCATTAATCATTAAAACATTAACCATGAATCATCATTTATCACGAATTGATATGATTATCATTAATTATCTATCTGAAATTAGATGATTTTATCAGTCTACTCGCGTTCTTTTTTGCGGGAGCGATCACTAAGAACGATATGGACCTTACAGTTTGGTGAATCATAATATGCAAAGTCTAGCCCTTCTTTTGGAGTAGCTCCCAATTGTGCAGCGAACATCTTCATCAGTTTTCAAAAAATCACGGCCTTGTTTGGTAGTTTCAGTGGAAATTATATATCTATATAATAGTATGTATGGTTCACCTGATGTTCCACTCTTACCTCGCAATTTTGAATCCAGCTTACTGCATGGCACAATCACTAGACACCAGCCAATTTGTCCAATCCAGTTCATCCAACCTATCGTAAACAAACGTAAATCACATACTTAAATTCTGCTTAAATTCTGATTTTGCTGGTAAAAATACCTTCTCGCTGTTGTATAAACCTGAAATTTTGGCTCATAAGTATCTAAATCAGAAAATATCGATATGTAAAACTCAAGATTTGGATTCCCTTTCAAAAAACCACTTCATCCTTCCCAATCGTTGCCAGGTATCGGTGTCGGCGTGGGCGTGGGCACGGCCGTGGCCCTGGGCATTGGCCTCGGCGTGGGCCTCGGCACCGGCGTCGGCAGCGGCCTCAGCGCCGGCAGCGCCGGCAGCGCGGGCAGCGCGGGGATGGCGAACGTGGCGCCGCCCGGCTTCGCGTTTCTCATGGCGCAGGGGAAGATGAGGCCCTGGGAATGGCATGGCGACCCATAACTCTGAGGCATTTTTGGTTGAGGCAAGGTGGTGGAAGAAATCCGAAGCACCAGTTGATGGTAACACATCCCATAGGCAGCCAACCATCTAAGGTGGTGCAGGATTTCGCAACCATCCACAGTATGTTTGTTGTTTTTTTCTGATATGTCTTTCTCGGTTTTTGAATGGAACATGATGGATTTAGCAAATTTCGCCCACTGGCCAGACCGGAAATGATGGTAGGGAGAGCCACCACGATATTGAAATGACCTTCTACAGAAATGGAGGTTTCTTAAGATTGGTGATCTCCAAAATCATGGGTTTCAGTACCAACATGGTCTAATGACTTGGATGATTTCGGTGGTACTCCCATTTCAGGAAATCCCCATATATATGGAAATGATATTCATGTGCTTCAATCGCTTTTGATCTGTTTTCTTTGTTTTGGTGGAGAGTCAATGGGATGCCTAGATTTCTACATATTGGTCTTTATTGGTGCAGATTTTGTAGGGTACTCCAAGTGTTCACGCGTTCCATCGTTTCCAAGTGTTTGGGTCCCTTAATCAGCTATGTTGTAAGCGAAAGATGGTGAAAACAAGAATGTTTTGCCTTAGGGTAAACGTTTGCATAGATGTGGAAAATGGCTCATTGATAATATGTTTGGATGAATTCCCTATATTGGTGATGTTCCACATCCAAACGTTTGCCCCAGGGTTGTTGAGATCTTCCTGGAATATGTATGGTTCAGATACGGCGTGGTCTGCAAATTATGGGAAAGCCTCAAAATCCCCATGGGTTTTTCGATGGCCGACTTCCTGCCGCATCTTCACAGCCAGGATATTCCCATGATATTCCCATATGATATATCCATTTTTTTATAGCCATATCATACAATTCGATGGCTTGAAGCTTGAAACCGGGAAGCCAATGTTTTTTTCACGTGGAAATCTCCAGGGTTTCCGGTTCCAACATGTTTCAACCGATGCATTGAACGGAGCAGATTGGGTGGAAGATTTGCTGCCGGGGCAGGCTGAAAGTGAAAGATCGCTCGATGCTGACGAACCCCGACTTTGCGGACGCGCTGAAGGACGCTGGCGGACGCTGGCGACACCAGGGGAGAGTTTCTCGTGGTTCTCATGGTTGGTGGTCATCATGGTTGGGGCCCCAGCTATGTTTAATTTTAACCTCCATTAAGTATAGAATAGATCTGTCATGAACCCAAGTGATTGGAGTTATAAACCAACTTAGCTAAGTAAGAGGCACCACCTTGCATACTTGGTCACAATGGTTGAAGTTAGCTAATTATACATCATTGTATACATATATATTATATATATACGTAACTCTATTTGGCAGAGGGTGGATGATGGATGGTGAATGTAATCTTATCAACCATCAACCACAGATCTATATACAGTCAATGGTTCGGAGTTAATTACGATATATACATTCATTTACACAAACAACACATATAAACATTGTTGTATGGCACGGATCAGAAAAAATTGGCCCTGTCCAAATTATGACCTAGCGCGACATGGATCATGATGCAGTTTTTATGCAACTCAAAGTGGGAACTGTTCCAATACTGGTTCAGCCTAGTTCATGCCAGTTGTATTGGGATATCAATGGGTAAGTCCGGACATAAATGGGTATAACTGGTACAGGAAGAGGTCCCCAGGTAGATTATTTCTTGGGTTTAGTTTCACCCATTTACCTATCGGTATGATATCTCAACCATCTCAACCATGTTGTAAACTTGTATACCCTCTGGTAATTTAACATAGTTATGGAAAATCACCATTTTCAATGGGAAAATCCACGAAATAAATGGCAATTTTCAATAGCTTTTTGTATGTTTACCAGAGGGTAAACTTGTAAAGTCTTCAAAAGAACACATCAAAATCACATCAATCCATGTGGTTTGTGCCTTGGCTGCGCAGGAGACCATCGCCAGGGTGTCGGGCAGCGGCGTAAGTGCTGCGATGGTCGAGCTGATCATCAACTGCGCCAATGTTCGGATCTCATGGGTCGACCCACATTTTACCCTCTGGTTATGTCAAAATAGCTATGGAAAATGGCCATAGAAATAGTGGATTTTCCCATTGAACATTGTGATTTTCCATAGTTATGTTAGTTTACCAGAGGGTAACATTGCTGGGATCCATGGAGAATAGGTGATATATATTATAATATATTATAATATAATTGGCTTGATTAAAAACATATGAGAATATATTCATATAGAATAACTGACAATATATATTAATATATAATAACTGGAATAACTAATATATATATATATCATATATTTATATATAGGTGATAAACTATGGTAGGTAATAACCAATAATATATATATGAATATACGATCATAGATGATCATAGTAGGTATTAACTAATAATAAAAATATATATATATATTGCTGTAATATATGGTAATTCCTTAAAATAATGCTGATTTCCCCAGTTTGGAGGGGCAACATGTATGGTAGATGTTTGCCAGCCAACCTATAACGGGGGTGGCCTTGTTGTGGCCGCCTGGTTTGCCCATGGTTCCTAAGGCAATGCGCAGGATGTTAGCGGAGAACCATCTCAGAAGACTGCAGATGAGCCCTACCGTAGGCGTATGTTTTAATGCATCGTGGCCAATGTTTTTTAAGGGTCGCGGAAGGTCATGGTTGAAGGGTTGGGTGATTTTTTGGGTCACTCCAAACAGAACCATTCAAGTTATGTTGTTTTTTGTAAGACAGCAATGGTTGAGATGGTCAAGAGAGGTTCCCCAAGTGACAGGTCTTGGTGCTGTGTGAAGATATTTTACAGAGTGCCCAAGTGTTAGACAACCCCCCTTTTTTTTGTGGTATGTTTTGCTCAATGTTGTGGTTCAAATGAATCAAACCACTGCTGCTCGGTGGTTTCAAACATGTTTCAACCAGTGTTCGGTGGTCGATTTGGAATGATGATTCCCAGGGATTCATATCAGGGTGGTTTAATGCACCACATTTCGGCCGTTGTTGAACGGGAAATTCATAAAGTTGGGCTTCATTCATGAAGCATTCAGCCAAAAAGAAAGGACCTAAAACGAGGCTCATCCTTGACTCTCTGAAGAGATTTGCCATATTTACACTCTTACTTTCCATCTTTTTCCTATAGTTGGTGTGTATCACGTTCCATCCCTATTGCCATGACATGATCAATTGTGTTTTCTTAATGATGGTTGGTATTTTTATTCACAATGCCAAGGGGGCCGGCGTATCTCCCTCGAACCCCGAAATGGACAAGCAACCAGCAATGGGTGTTTCATAGAAAGGGGGTTCCCCAAAACCACTGGGTGTTCAATACTAAAATGGCCAGGAAACTTCCATACTGAAACAAGATAAAAGAACCAGTGAAGATTTTGCTTTGTCTGAAAATCATGTACGGTAAGCCTTTTTTTCTTTTGCTTGATCATCAATTTATCATTAAGATGACCATTTTGGGGGTAAAGCCTATTTTCAGAAGCAAATATACATGTATCATAGACATTATTGTTGTTCTCCCCATATTCTATCCCCATCGACTAGTTCTATATTAGTTTTTCGCCCTAGACTTAAAAACTAACCTAGGGGGGACCACCTTTTCTCCGTGTTTTTGTTGGATAAAAACATCAAACAGATCCTATGGAATTGTTAAATGACCCAAGCCTATCACAATTTCTTGTTGGGAAATTTAGGTAAATCATGGTAAATCCCTGTTGTATCCTACATCTCCATTTCTTGTTAGGGCTCCGTGTCGATGTAAAAACCAAGGTGCGCGTGGCGGATAATGCGGCCGAGGACGGTAAAAGACGGTGAGGGTTGCAGCTTGGGATGCCATGGTTTCCATGATATCCCCATGTTAAGATGAAAACTAAAGACCTGGGGAACAATTAATGACACTATTAATATATCACTATTAATATAGACATCTAATGACATCTATAGACTCTAGATCATCATATTCATCATCAAAG